AATTTTTTTTTACAATGTTATGTTTTGAATTTTACTTGCAAAGCCATTATACTCTATTTAAGTCTTGAAAAGTGGCCTCAACATTCTGCCATGGCTAATGCAAATTTAAAAAACATTGCTGAAACCGCCCCCCCCCCCTTTTCCCCACCCATCATCATGGGCGCCTAATACCATAGGAACATCTGGTTTGTGATCGACAAGTTTTCCGGAGGGTTGTTATGGGAGCATAGTTCTGCAAAAGACATGCTACTGACTGACAGGCCATTATATTTCCTGCATGTGAAATGTCTGAAATTAAATTTTACAAACGGGACCGACTTGACTGAATCCATACTAAGACGATGTCTCTTATTGGTAAATAATGGATTACAGAAAAAAAAAAGTATTTCTACGGAAGTACTGTGTGCTAAAGTTTAAAAAAAAAGTGAAGGAGCCTTATCCATACCTTTAGTCTTTTGGGGCATGTAGGGCTAGACCTATATTTGTAAACCAATCGGCACTTGGTGGGGGATGTGGTCAGCTTTACGACGACCTCCTTTACTTTTCAGGACTTACGTTGTACCCACTCAAGGCTGGGTCGATCTAAGAGCCAATGTCATTTTTGACAAAAGGCCGGCTTTGTCAGGGCCCGAACCTGCATGCATCCGATCCGCATGTGAGCATCTAGCCGCTACATCACGGCTGCTCTCGTGTGAAAAGAGTAGCAAAGAAGAAACGTGCTATCCGGACGATTTCAGAGCACATTTAACTATTCCTACAGTTGTTAATACAGTCACAGAGACTTCATTTTGTCTTGTTTTGTAAAATTGCCGAAATATCTAGGAATGTCCTACATTGTTTTGGACACTCAGATTTACTCGTGAAATGAGGTCGTGTCCGCAAAGAAGGAGATGGTTGGTAGGTGCTTTGCTAAGAGGGGTGGTGGTGGAGGTTTACAAAACTGTTACGTTTAATCAGCATCCCTGAAGAAGAAGTTTTAGGTAATAATTGTGGCTATTATTATGTGTGCCATATAAAACGGCTTAGCATTGCCCGCCCCGAATAATCCTGAAAGGAACCGCTGCAATGTTGATGATATCGAAGGAGATACTGTCCCCAACGGCGACGAATTCGTCTGCCGGCAAGTCAGTGGGATACCCGGTCGCCAATGAAATTTTCTGTAGCTAGTATATTCGTTACACCAACTGCCTTGTCAGGTTAGCAAGTGCAGTTTTTACGGAAATCCCAGCGATCGTGACCGGACCTGCTGAGTTCTAGCCTTGTATAATTATTGATCCAGAAACCGTTTGTTGTAAACCCTTTGGCTTAACACTATTGATATCGCAACTCTTCGGCATTGATTCCTTGATAGATACCGTGAATCTGGAAAATATATCCTGTATCTCACTGTTACATGACTGTCAACAGAGATGAGGCAAAGCAGGTAGAGATATAGGGGTCCTGTGTCTCACTGTTACATGACTATCAACAGAGATGAGGCAAAGCAGGTAGAGATATAAGGATCCTGTGTCTCACTGTTACATGACTGTCAACAGAGATGAGGCAAAGCAGGTAGAGATATAAGGGTCCTGTGTCTCACTGTTACATTATAGCTATTATTCAGTTTCGTCCTTTTTAGGACGAAATTTTTTGTTATTTGAAGCCCCACCCTGGCTTTTGCCAGGGGCCGCAATATAGGCAGGCCATAAATATGGCCAAATGTCTGAACGCGGTTTCTGGGACCTCTCCACGGCGATCCTCATCCATATGGTGGCACTTTGTGTCATCGGGTGTTTATCGCTTGTGTGATGTCCTGGTGGGGTAGAAAGTCAGTCAGTCACTGTTACATGACTGTCAACAGAGATGAGGCAAAGCAGGTAGAGATATAAGGATCATGTGTTTCACTGTTACATAACTGTCAAAAGAGATGAGGCAAAGTAGGTAGAGATATATTAAGGTTAGTTGCGTATCCTTTACAGGACGTTGCAGAACCAACCCTAACAGCCCCTGGGGCTGTTGTGTGGTTTTTCTAGGCAAATTTACGTCCAGTAGTTTGCCATTGCAAATTCTGGACGGTCGGCTTTCTTGATACCACTGTCGAAACTAACGCAAAGCACATGGCCCGCAGTTGAGATCGAACCCGGCATTTCCGCATTACGAAGCGTTCGCATCGACTCAGCCACAGAGCCGACAGAGATATATAGTCACGTGATAAGTACTGGGCAGAAAATCACTAAACAGCTACTGGGATAAGATCCCCCCCCCACCCCCCCCCCCCCCCCCAAAAAAAAGAAGATTAGGGAGGCGAGGAAATTTAAACAATCAGCATGGGCTGAATTAGATTCTATCGGTGACATCAAAGTGACAAGTAGAGATCAAATCAGGAATGAAGAAATTAGAAGACGACTAGGACTAAAACAGGTCAAACATTTCATTACAGAAAAACAAATGAAATGGGTTTGGCCACGACGAAAATGCCATGGTAACAACTGCCACACAGAGCCACACTGAAATAATATAATGAACACAGAGCAAGGGGAAGACCACAAAGGTTATGGATCGACACCATCAGGAGCAACCTAACAGAAATAAACACCAACTTGTACAATGCACTGGAATAAGCGCACACACGATCCTTACATCTCCCCCCCCCCCCTTCCCCCCACCACCACCAACTCCCCAACATCGCGCTGAGGTCATTGATGGAAGAGAAAAAGAAATAAGAAGAGGAAGAAGAAGAAGAAGAAGAAGAAGAAGAAGAAGAAGAAGAAGAAGAAGAAGAAGAAGAAGAAGAAGAAGAAGAAGAAGAAGATATCGAAAATATTGCACATAGTAGATGAAAATGGATGAATATACAGGTTAAATAGGATACTAGCGCCGTGGTGGCCAGGGGCTGAACGTCTGCCTGCGTGGCCTGCCTGCCTGCCGGCTCGAAGGTCTTTGTTTTGAATAGGCATAATATAAGGGTTGATTTCTGTTATCAAAACGGACATTGGCTCCCAAATCGACCTAGAGCAAAATGGGTAACAGGTAATGTCCTGAGAAGTAAAGGCAGCTGGTATGATGTTCATCACATCACCCGCCGAGTGCCGATTGGAATATAATAATCTATGAGTCTAGCATTGAATGCCTGATGCGCCACGCCCGTTCTTTTACCCGTGTGCATATCACGTGTACACAGGGCGATGATGATGATGATGCCGAAACAATATGAAATAGGTGGCAACAGACCACAGCTGATATGATGGCTTTCGTTCAATAAATCAAAGGTTGTAAATGATTATATTTACGGCAGGAGAAAGTAGCACAAAGTACACACCCAAACTCTCAGGTCAGTCGGTGCACCTGGATAACCTTGTCACTGACTAACGGTGTCATTATTTTAGTCATGCCACCTTTATAAAATTAATTAAAACGAGAACAACATACTTTGCCACACATAAAAGCAATGCGTAAGAACCAAAGGTATCGTTTTCGTTTAGTTTTCTTCATCTTCCTACGATCAAAGTTATAACTTTTCTTTTCTCGTAAACAAATTAAACCAAAGTTGTTGTCGGGGTATCTCGAAAACAGACTCATTCAGTTCAACATTTGGTATTACGAGTAAACATAGATATTAACACCTATACTTTGATTGGCCAGCTTTCCGCCAATCACTGCTTACGCTGCCGAAAGAAATACTCGAAGGTCAAATGATGTCATGGTTTGTCCCGAGCTATAAACTATTTATAGTTCATTATTTGTTTTTCCTTGAGGCCCTGTTAGGGGAAGAAACATTCTGCCTATATACTTACTTCATGATGATAATTAAAATATGTATATTTTGTTGCCCTGCACAATGGTTATTTGGGCAGACTTTGCAAATCATTATTTAAATGTAATAATATAAAACATTATTATATATTAAACCAATAAACTGTAACATATGCATGTCTTGTAACTTTTGTAGGCTATATGAACACAACTAAAAGCATTTCTCCTTTTATTATCAAAGCACCAAGCGACTGAACACTTTATTTATTATTTTTTTAAAAGCATATTTTATGATGTTGGAGAAATAAAATATATACTTTATATACTAAGGTGTATTTCACGTGTGGGTTCCGTGGTTCCATTGTGGAGAAAACAAGCATAGACCCATTGCCGCCCCAACAAGCTTTTTAAAATTTGACTTATTGAGGACTTCCTTCAAAGTCGGAGTGCATCTGCCGGAGAGGCAAGGATCCAACAGTCTGCATACAAATAAGCATGGTCTGTAAAACGGATGCACAGGTAAAACTCAGGTCCTGAAACAAAGCCCAAGCTCAGAAATGGACGAACAACCAGGTCTTACAGCCGGTGAACGCAGACAATAACAACTCTGTTGTCTACACATTATATGGAACAATCATAAGTGATAACTGAGTGAAAATTAGAAGAAGAAATAATCCCAAAATTCAGGAAAAGCGGTTACTCTGTAATAGCAGGGTACACATATATAACTGTCGTGTACAGTATTCGAAACTCGTAGATTTGTGCCTGTTTGATTTACATCCTAAAAATTGCGGCCTCAAACCACTGGATATCAAGCATTCAGGCTAACAATCTATTAGAAGGGAAAATGAAAATAAGAATAAAAAGAGGGGAACTACCTGTTGCAAATTTAACTGTTTTCCTGACAGCGCCTCATGACCAGATATTGAGTGGAAGTCGTGGGCTTGCGCGTTCTTGGAAAGTGGCACATAAAAAAATCAGCACAATAACGTAAATGTTCCCCTCGGAAATTATAAAACGACGTGAGGTAGATCTGTGTGGTTAGTTGACAGCAAACAACTGTTGAAACTTAGAAATTGTAATGCTTTCATTAACTTGTGTGCACATAGGAAACTAACTTGTGTTAGGCTCTTGTACTAGATTTTCATATACTACCTTGACTGGAATTACAATTAAAAATTGTGAAGCAACTGTGTTACCATTGATTGAGTTTTCATACACATTAAAGGACCAGTATTACGACAGTGAAATACAAGCAGATTTGAAACATGCCAGCAAGTAAGTTATTCATTCTGAACTTAATGTTTCTAACACATTTCACCGGTTAACATTTCGCCTACTGTTTTTGTTTACAATATAGGGCTTATCATTTGGTGTGGCCACCACAGTGCCCTTATTGTTTTTAAACATAACTTGCTTTGATGGTGAAAGTAGCTACACACAAGGGAGAGAGCTGGGACCAGATGCAGTATTACGACAATAACTGCTGCTACTACAACTTCTGCTGCTACTATTACTCTTCTTCTTCTTCTTCTTCTTCTTCTTCCCCCCCTCCCCCCCCCCACCCACCCTTCCCCCCGTGGAGCACAGGCCTTCAACCAGCTGACGCCATATCTTTCTATCCTTTGCTGTTGCATGCAGCTTACCCCATGTCCTAGCTATCTTTTAAACTTCATTCTCGGGGTCCCTTCTCCGTTTGGAGAGATGGAAAAAAAAAGGGTGGAGGGGGGGGGGGTGGATAATTCCTTACTTTAAATGCGACTGTGGGTTCCAGTCAAAAGTTATTTTTGATTATTATCACTACTTATAATTTGCACTGTTGCTGCTATTACAATTACTGCACTAGCATTTGAACTGCTGCACAATGGTTGCAGTCGCATGTATTGTAGTGTGGGTGGCTGTATGTGTGTAAATCGTTTATTTAGTCGTGATCAGCGTAGATTCCAGAGTAGTTGGCGGGAAACCGGAAGCTAGCCATGTTAACAGGGCTGCCAATACTTGGGTTTTACGTCAAGGTCTGGGTTTTTTAAAGACGCCTTGGGTTGAGATTTTTGGATTTTTTTTTTTTTTTTCAAATCTATCCTTATATAAAGTGAGTAAATGTTTCATTTCGTAACCATAAAATATGTACTTTTTATAAATCTTGGGTTTTCGTTTTTTCCCCCAAGTATTGCTTGTGTTTGTTTGGCCAGCTTAACTTGGGTTTTGATAAAACTCTAAATGACAGCCCTGGCCATGTATCTGTAACCTTTTGCCCCCCCCTCCCCCTCCCCCCTCAGCCATATTCTGTGTTGTGTGTGTGTTTCTGTGTAAAACTAAACTATAATAATGGCCACATCTTACTGTTCTCAGGATTCTCATTCATCGAGCAGTACCGCACTATGGCCAAGGATCTGGAAAAGCAATCTTGCGAAGACTTCTTAAGCTTCGACCAAGAGGTAAGGATGTGTTTGTGGTGAAACTTTACAATATAAAGCGCTTGACGCTGAATTTATGAAACTGCTACGCTGAAAGCTCTTCAGACCATAAAATATTATTACTATAGCCGCAGTTATCAACTTTTGAAACGCATCTCTTCCCCTTCTGGACAGCAGCTTAAAATATTCACACACACACACACACACACCCCCCCCCCACACACACACACACACACACACATCCACACACATACACACACACAGAGTAACTGACAGTGACTTAAAGAGCCACTTTGACGTAGGTTCAACAGACGAAAATCTCAGCCACCCCCCACCCCCTTTCCCCGGTTCAACAATATAAGACAGTTATATTGGTTCACCCTACACCCGAAAGTAGCCCTGTGTGGGTAGAGGCAGTACTACTCATCAACGGATCAGTTTGTCCACCCATAGCTGCTTTCTTTGAAGGCTTACAATTCTGAGATTTTACCAATTCAGTGTGGACGGTAGACCATCAAGACAGATCCCTGATACCCCCCTGTTCAGCCTCCAGAAAAGTTATTAATAGGGCAACCATAACGGCTGCACCAGCCATGGGAAACCTGCATCCCTATACACGTGAGGACGAAGGTAGGTAGGTAGTTGTACCCAAACAGGACATCATACAAGCGATAAACACCCGAAGACACTAAGTGCCACCATGCGGATGAGGATCACCCGTGGAGAGGTCTCCGAAACCCCTTTCAGACGTTATGCCATATTTATGGCCCGGCTATATATTCAGGTCCCCCGGCAAAAGCCAGGATGGGGCTTCAAATAACAAAAAATTACATCCCATATGGGGACGAATTTTTAGTTAACTGAGGGACGAAGTACAAACTCCACTGAAATAGGCAACAAATGTAAAAGATTGATAGGCAACTAAAATGCAAATATTTCACTAACGATAAATCATAAATTACTTTCCACCCCTGCAGCAAGCTATAAACGTAGATTTTAATGTATGCTCCAGTGACTGCATAAGTAAAGGTGGAAGTGGGCGGTGAACAACAGTTGCACAACCGCCTTTAGTTTTAAAAATCTTTTTTTGTTTTTTTTCGGTAACACTGAACAAACACATGCGACCACGAAAGGAAATTATGTCCCTTATCTGAGAGATTTATGAAAAGATCATTATGGGCCGGAGTACTGAGTGCAAGGGCGTGTCTCGTGTGTCTCGATGTGTGTGTATGGGGGGGGGGGGGGGGGGGTCGGCTTTTTCTCCTTCTTCTGTTTCTTGTACTTCGTCTTCTTCAGCCTTCCGAGCCCTGGAGGTTCACTGCTCCAGATTTCACCCGCCTCCATTCATCTCCAATTTTTAACCCTTTGAAAATAAAGTTTGTTCGTTCGTTCGTTCGTTCTCTGGTTGGCTTTCTCTTTCCATTTGATGACTCTAAGTGTTTGACGGAATATTATTTGTGAAACCAAGTTACTGAGTTTTGTTAAATGGATGGCAAGAGAGGATTGGTGTACTCTTTTCTTTAACGGCCCTAAAGGGCGAATAAATAAATAAATAAATATGGTAGTGCTGATTTCTATGTTAATCACTATTTCTTGATCCTCCTGGTGGGTCACCAATTTGGACGGGACTGAGATATTGCTCTTTCTTCTTCTTCTTAGCGTTCACCATTTTTGTTGTTTGTCAACTTCTGGTCTTTAAACTTGAACTTTGCGGGCACTTCCGTTTAAAACTGATCTGCTTACTTGTATGCAGACTCTTGATCCGCTGCGACTCCACAGGGGGAACAAATCTCTGATTGGAAGCCTTGTACTATATGCTTGATAGGGATATCAAGGGATATCACCCCCTCCCATCGTCCCAGCTGTTTCCCCAGAGGGGCATTCATATTTGAATTCATCGATTCGATATAAAGGAGATATTGACATGTTTTGTAAATTAAATTCTGAAGCATAAAATCTGTAAAGGTAGATTAATGATTTCACAGGGAAAAGGTAAAAAGAGTCTACAGATTTAACCTGTGATAGATCAGTGATTTATTTTATGAGGTCACCAACTTTTCTCTTCCCCTAACACTACCCACCCCTGTGCCTGACACCAGTAGAAAGTAGATAATTAGTCCACAACTTGTCTGTGATGTGAAGTGTTGCAGTCACGCCCCTAACGCAATCACTTTGTAGAAGAAGAAATAGAATGCTTTTAGCCGCTCGGCCAACCACAACGCTACACGATGCATGACAACTGATTCACGCTGCACTTATCTTTTTCCTCGCTCCCTGTTTGTTAAAACACCTAACCACCTGTGGCAGACACCTATGCTTATGCGACTGCAGCAGCTAAACTTGTTTTCGTTCTCCGCTGTGAGAAGCGAGTCTGAAGATTTATGAGCCAGATAGACACTTTTATAGCAAGCCTTTGTGGCATACCTAAAAGAAAGACACCAGTTAGTTGACACCGCTGTTTGGACACGAAATTGCTGTACCTTACTGCATATCAGTGTTCCTCAACGTGATCGCTACTTATTTTAAAGGTATGGGCGCGGGGGAAATAAGTAGCAGAAGGATAATGTAGAAAAGCTACATTTTTTTAAATAATGAATTCAATGCTTGGCCGTGCGGAATGGGCGGAACACGAGCACTGACTTGATCTGTGATTATAGTGATCATGTGGAGTGGCGACTCATTACCGCCCATGCTTATCAGCTCACCACATGATGATGATTATTTCTCCGGGGAGAAGGGAGGGCACTTTGTGATTTTGTTTTTAAACTGAAAAGCAGGTGATAGGCCCAGAAGGTTTGGGAACCTTCGCTTCAAATCAGCAAGATCTAGAAAATCCAGGGAAATTTGGGACAATTGAAAAAAAAAAAGCCTAGTGTTTTACGACTACGCTTCAGTGAAGTACAAAAGTAGCCAACTTCTGCTTGTTATTTGATGTTAAAATAGCAATAAATCCCCGTCCCTTTTTAGAGACAAGAGAGTAAACTGAAATTAAAGACCCTTGACATGGCTCCACAAACAATCGGCAGACGTGAAATATAAGCAGGACTAAACTCCTGTGCATGCCTGGATTAAGTTTCAACGGTTACTTGTCTCTGACGCAGTTTGTACCTTAGAATTTGTATTTTTCTTTATCCACTCGCCCTCCCGCCTTCTTCCTCGACAAGTTTCAAAAGGTTAGCTTTTTCTGTAAGTTCTCTTTCCATCGAGCGTGTTTGTATATGTCATTATATTTGTTGTCTATTTTTAAGGAAATATAAAGATTTTGGACCCTGTCTCAGATTTTCAGATTAGATTAATCAAACGATGAATTGAGACTGTTTTATATATATATATATATATATATATATATATATATATATATATATATATATATATATATATATATAATAAAGAGAGAGAGAGAGAGAGAGAGAGAGAGAGAGAGAGAGAGAGAGAGGTTTACATTTTTTAACCCCTTTAAATTTTGCTTTTGGTCACGACTAACCATAAAATCTGGCTAGTGGGGTCACTTGAAGTCATTAGACAGATTAGTGCAAAGCGCCAGGTTGCCTATCTAAGTATTTTCTAAGTACTTACTCTTATCGCACCCAGCCATTTCATCCTTTGCTCACTTAACTACATAAGAAGCACTTCTGCACTGAATACACATGATTGACTTCCACAGTGCTTGTCTTTTGACTAGAGCTCAGTTTCTATTTCTCTCAGTCTCTCTTTCTGCGTCTCTATCTTTCTCTCCACCGTCTTTTCCAAACTCTCACCTTCACTATCTATCTATCTATATCTCTGTCTGTCTTCATGCCTATCTGTTTCTATCTGTTTTAAATGTATGTGTGTTTGTGTGTGTGTGTGTGTGTGTGTGCGCGCGCGCGCGTGTATGTGTGTGAAACTTTAAGTTATGGAGAAGTGGACGAACAAACAGCCTTTCCACCTGAGTTTACAGCCGGTGAACGTGAAAAGGAAGAAGGATAGGAATAACAATAATAGTAATAAAAAGAAGAAGAAGGAGAAGAAGAAAAAGAAGCTGTTAAAAATAGATTTTACCGGCTGCATGTTACAACTAATGGCTTGTAAATACAACAACGACTTAGACATTCCGCCGGCCCTACCTTCCCGATCCAGTTACCACACCTCAGAATTATCTCCCCCCAATTCGCCCAGCACACAATTACATCGTGTAATGGGGTCACCGCAACATTAGGTGCACATAACCCGTGGCAGTCTGCCTAATCCAACTGAGGAATGTAATGTTGGTTGGTTGCGTATCCTTTACAGGACGTTGCAGAACCAACCTAAGCAGCCCCTGGCTGTTGGGTGGTTTCTCTAGGCAAATTTACGTCCAGTAGTTTGCCATTATTTTTTTGTACTGGCGGCTTTCTTGATACCACTGTCGAAACCAACGCAAGGCGCATGGCACGCACCTGGGATCGAACCCGGAACTCACTTGCCCTAGCAATCGAAAAGGATGCTGAAGGCTGAACGATAGTAAGAGCAAAAAAAAAAAAAAAAGACTTATGACTGGTTATTAAATCCACACTTCTGTTACATTATTACTGAGTTACTAAAGTTAGACTCTTGTTTTCCATTTTAGCAGAGCTACTAAAGTCAGACCGTTATACTACATTGTTACATATTTACTAATACCAGATGATTGCTTTATATCGTTAAAGTTACTCAGTCCAGACTTTTATTATACATTGTTACAAAGTGTGCTAAAGCCAGAGCTCTCTATTACATTTTTACAGGTTCCACAGTCTAGAAACTTCTTAGACGATTCAGAAATTAAATCAGAAGTCAAACCGGCAATAAAGCTTGAAGCTGTAGATGGTGGTATTGACATGTACAACATTATGGATTGCATGGAAAACAGCAGCACAGATGCAGCCTACAACAGCAACCAAAACTACCACAGGTTTCTAGACAATTTTAAGAGTTCTTACAGTCCAGCTGTGGGAGACCAAAGTCGACCAGCCACTGCTCCGTTGACTCTACCATCATCAGCGGCAACGGCAAGAACATCGGGACTATCGTTGATAGCTTCCACAGCATCGCCGTTGATGTCATCTACAGCACTGCTATCTCTAACACCATTCTCCTCTACCACTTCCGCCTTAACACTGTCACCAATGACCTCAACGTACACTACAACCAAAACTAGCACATACGTAACTGAGCTGGCTGGAAGTGGCTGCACTGTTGTGTCTAATACAGATTTCCTCTTCGACTCCCCCAACACATTGTCTCCCTTTGATGGTCGCGATGAGAACCTTGAGTACACAAACCTGGACAAACCAATGGAGCCATTGAACGATGACTATTCACCATTCTCCATGATGAACAAGCAAGGAACAGTCCTAGAAGAGTCGGACTGTGTCCCACTAGAAGCCGTATTCATCATGACAGATACCATCCAGAGTGACTGCAATAATCTCAATGTTCCTTATGGTAAGTTCGCTATTGTTACATTAACAGAAAAACATGTTTGAATTTACAACTTTATATTTTAACTCTTTAAACTGCGTGTGCCGACTCAAAGGTCACGTTGTTAATAACTCATTTTTGAGGACTTTCCATGTGGGTTTCAGGGTTCCATTTTAGGGAGGCAAGGAGTGGATCCAGTGCTTCTTCACAACCATATAATAAAAGGTGACTAGCTAAGGATTTACTGAAATTGAATTTGTGGGCCCAAAAGGCTCAAACGTCACAGCCTAGCTATAAACCATAGTACAACATGCCAACCTCCTTTTAACCGTTCTAGTTCTAGGCGATCATTATTTTAAGTGAGTATATCCTTAATGTGTGTTACTCAAAGTAAGACATTCTTGGGTTTGGAAGAGTTGAAATGAAACTACTGGACAGAAGGAGTTACAGTAACACTTGGGATCGTCATCGATCAGCAAAGTCGTTTTCAGAACGTTCCTCTCGTCATGGTGTACCGGAAAGTATCTCTTTCTCGAGCCCATTCTCCAGCCCTGCACATCTTCACAGTTGATGTATCCTCAGATGTCTTGTATCCACCTTCCTGGAGGCCTGCTTCTGCTTCATTTTCCAGAAACTGTTTCCTCTATCATCATTCTGTCCAGGCCAACATAATGCAGTGACAAACTACTGAACGAAAATTTGCCTCCTGAAATCTCAAACAGCCACAAAATGCTGGTGTTGCTTCTGCAACCTTTACGCAGTGGACTGTTAAAAAAAAAAAAAAAATGCTTGGGAACCAGGACAGTTTTAAAGTTAGAAATCCTGCAGTGCAACATAAAACAAATACTTTATGAAGACTATTAGAAGGGTATTATTCAAAGATAGAAGCAGATGTGTGACATTCTAGATGTTGTGAGGGCCCTTTGGGAGTGAGTGAACAGTGCGGAGGCACAGATTGATTATTACTGTCTAAAGAGAATAACGCTGCGAGGAGTTTCCAGGGGATCTGGCCAACGCTTAACACTCAAGGGAAAGGCGAGACGGATATACAATCAGTTACTGGTGCCATCAGAATTGGAATTCTTTGCTTACTGCCTAAGACGGGGACGGGGCGCTTATATGAGTGTCCTGAGTGCTATGATGTCGATTCCTTATTCAGCACCTAACGGGAGCAAATGTTTATTTATATAACCGTGAGAAAGAAAGCAAAAGTTATCTTTGCGAACCATTTAACAGTTATTATTTTATCGGAGACATAAATTAATTTAATCTGATCGTATGTTAATCTTGACAACCATTTATCATATTTTCAGATCCCATGATATGGAGCCCTGAACATGTGAAAAGGTGGGTTTCTTGGGTGTGTCACAGAAATCAAGTTTCAGATGTCTCGCACCACTTGTGTCACTATGATGGACGCGCTCTGTGTTCACTCACACGTGACTATCTTTCACGGACATTTCACGAAGCCGGCATTAAGATCTCAAATGAGTTGGACCTGTTGAAAGCAGGTGAGCATAGTCTTAAAGTCTGACTGAGAGTTCAATTTATCTTTGATTTTAAAAAAAATCTGTTTCGGTTGTTACTTGTTCAGCCACTGAACTGTTGGATTCTTTCTATTTCAAGCAGTCCACTATGTGGGATTTTAATTCTTCTTACATTTAGTCAGAGTACACTAAAAAATCTGGCAGCAAGCTTTTTTTTTTTTTTTAACAAGATAAATATTTGGAGCCAGTAAAAGTAGTACTCTTGTGACTGTGTTACTTTTATTACATGCTCAATTGTCCCCATGTCCTATTGTAGTAGTGTGAAAAAGAACGCATCCACTGTATCCCTAACGAGCATATTGTAAGAGTCGAAGAATTAGGATTGTTTCCTTCAAAGCCGGAGTGCGCCTGCCTGAAAGGAAAGAGGCGAAGCTCACAGTCTGCATAGAGAAAAAAAAAAAAAAAGCCAGATCTGTAAATAGATGTCAATGCAAAACTCAGCTTTTGGGACCAAACTAAAAGTCCAGAAGCGAATGAACAAATAGAAAGTTCCGCTGAATTTGATTTGATTTTTGATTTGATTGTACAACCGAAGAACGTGAAGAGGAAAAAAAGATATACCCAGCTGGACAGTTGCTGTGGACTTAAAAAAAATTATTATTCTTTCTTACTTGAGACAGAAATTCCCTATATGTTTACTTATATTTTTTTTACAACCATAGTTACAATGGGGAAGTGGTGTATGACCTATTACTTTACAGAATGGTAACCATTAGCTTGGGAACGATATCAATAAAATGATAGGAAACAAATATGGAAGTTGTGGGGTGGGTGGTGGTGGTGGAGGAGGGGGGGGTTGCAAGAGGGGAATTTTTAGACTGGACATAACAAAGGCAAGGTCTTAGCATGCAACACTGGTTGTGTCAATTTGCACCCATGCGTATCCAGAAACATAGTAAACATTTAGGCTACGTTGGGGTTAACGATCTCACCTATGTGCGCATTGTTGTTGTTTTCAAACACAACTTAAAGCCCTCCACTTTGTTCCTTTCCTCCCCATCTTCCTCCTCCCCCTCTACCACGCATGTACCGTACACAACTGCTCTCATGTCAGAACTCAAGCTTTGCATAAACATGGCTGTAAGCGTTTACCAGGCCATCGAATCAACTGTCACCACCAGTTTGCACACTGCACAGATCTTGTGGTCTCGGTCCAGTGATTAGCTGAAATGTGAACAGCTTTCACGACGCACCTTATGTCACAGGCTGTCGGTTTCCAACCCTGTCCTCCCCTCACCCACTACTGGATGCTTCTACCATGTGATGTAGGTAAGATGACCCTGTGGTCACATGACGAATCAGTGCACACATTTTGTAGATTGTGTGCACTCCTCTTCCCCCTTCCCCTTTATTTATTTTAGATATAATATTACCAACTGGTGAAAACCTTGCTCAGGTCAATTGATGAAATTTTTGCTTTAGTCAGCAACTGCATATACTGTTTTATGTTTGTAAAGAGCGTGAGTAAGCAAAGGACCCCCTTTTTACAGCTATATTTTGTTAGGTTAGTTGCTTATCCTTTACAGGACGTTGCAGAACCAACCCAAACAGTCCCTGGCTTTTGTGTGGTTTGTCTAGGCAACTTACGTCCAGTAGTTTGCCATTGCTTACTGGACGGTCGGCTTTCTGGATACCACTGTCGAAACCAACTCAAGGCGCATGGCCCACGGCTGGGATCGAACCCGGCATCCCGGCATTACGAAGCGTTCGCATCGACTTAGCCACAGAGCCGACTTTACAGCTATATAGTTCTATAATTACATTTTTCATAGACAAATCAGCACGTTATGGGTGATTTTGTCAGGCTGGCCACCTTTACTTTCCAGGACGTTACACGGTACCCATTTTAGGCTAGGTCGAGCAAAGATTCAAGGTCAATTTTTAAAAAAGAAAATAAAATATCGCCCAAAAATGATTTGAACCCTTGACTTTCAGGTTGGCACGTAAGCGTCTAACGACTCCATGTGTGTCAGTTTTGGGGGTGTTTATTTTGTAAAAATGTTTTTGCAATGGCACACAGGAACAGTAAGCAATGAATAGTGGAGAAATATTATAGGACAAAACACATGCTAGAAGGTCGTCTCTTTTTTCATCTGGCCTGTTCACCCCGCATTTTAATTGCATGCGACAGTTGCCAGCAAATCAACTGAAAGAGGCACTCAAACAGTTTGCTGTTTATCTTGTTTTTCAATCTCAGGGGCCTGTGACCAGCAAAGCATGGCTTGTTAGGTTTCTTGTACCGAAAAAAAAAAAAAAAGTGACATTTCATATCTTGTAACTTGGTATTTAGTTCAGCAGAGAATCATCTATTTCTTTTTCTTAGTGTTTACTAGCTGTAAACTGCAGTGGAAAATTCTGATTGTTTATTCACTTCTGCACTTTGGTCTTGTTCCCAAATTTGAGTTTTTGCGAGCACATTTATTTTACATATGTTGCTAATTTGCATGCAGACTGTAGGCTTCTCACCTTTCAGGCAAATGCACTCTTGAGTCCAAAGGTAACCCCCCTAATTAGTCACCTACTGTGACCTGCTTGTATGGGGAGAGTAAGTCCGTTCTGTTTTCTCCCAAAAGTATGACCCCGGATCCCACACTGGCAGTTCAGCTGTGAATAATTTACATTGTTAGTTTTCATTCTACTTCCCATAAAAAAGACCTCCTTGTGGGTTCTAGGACCCCAGGGGGGGGGGGGAGGGGGGGATATAAGAGACTGACTGCACCTTGGCAAACGCGTAGTAAAAAGCTACTAGTTAAGATTTGCTGAAATCACATGTATTAGGACAAAACTGGCATATATCGCACAACTGCAAACCTGAACACAACATGCCAACTTCCCTATTAATGGCCAAAATAGAAGTAGATATTTATTCGTAGTAATTAACTTTACAGCTGTGGGAGCATATGAAAATTATTTATTCTTTTTTTTTTCTTCAATTTTCTAATTGTTTCTGGCACTATAAATAACTTAGTTATCCCTATTTCATTTACAGCCTACAGCTGTTTTTCCAATCAGAGTCAAGAGGATTTCCTAAGCTCCCAACATCTTTACGAACCATTCATGGAGAACCCCCAGACCTTTAGCTTTGACTCCTGTGTCTCCCCAGCACCCAGTTTGAGCAGCAGCACACACGACAGCAGTTCCAGCACAGTTTCTACACATTCCGATCACAGTGATGATGAGAGTGGCTATGGTATGTACTGGTTGACTCTTACAGCACACCTCACAAACCACCTTTTTCCGAGCTCATTTTTGGGAGCCAGTTTCTGATCAGGTTGGCTTGAGTTGAAGTTTACTGACAAAGAAATGTCTCCTTCTTTCTTCTGTATTCATCTTTGAAAGAGCAGTTTGCATTCTGTGTGGTGGTTTACAGCTAGGCTGCAATGTCTGTGCCTTTTGATCCAGCACATCTGATTTCAGCAAACCCCTACTAGGTCTCCCTTTATGACATGTCATACAGTGATTGTATGGGGAGTTCCTGTACCATCTGTCATACAGTTATTGTATGGGAAGTTGTTCCTGTACCATTATTGCACATCCTTTTTGTTACAAAAGGGAAGAATAGCTTTGCAACTCTGTTACCTTAGAACTGGTACATTTCTGAGTAAAATTGGTTAGGAGAAAAGTCTCTGCTCCAGTATGACGACTGTTGTCTGATTACAGATAAAGTGTAAATAACTAAACAAGCTGATTGACTCAGTTGGTAATATAATATATTTAGAAAGTGTCTTCTGTACGAACGAACAAACAAACTTTATTTTCAAAGGGTTACAAATTGGGCACGCAGGCCCGTCTGACATTCGGCCCTTCATCTGTATGATCATCAAGTTATCTATGTCTTAGAGGTTTGTTTATTATAATATATAATTGCATGACAGTCTATATTTCCATTACATGGTTATTCATTTACTACTTGAAATATTATGATCGTCCATTATTGTGTAATGTAATTTTAATCTCTAACTATTTTTTTCAGGTTCACAAAAATCTTCCTATTCCAACACGACCAAGATTGGAGAAGCTGGTGACCACAACAGAATTGTAGCTAAAGTTTCAACTGGACGTGGACATAAGCAGACCATTCACTTGTGGCAGTTTCTGAAAGAACTGCTACTTTCAAAAGAGAATAACTACAGCGAGTGCATCCGCTGGCAGGACCGCAAAGCTGGAATCTTTAAAATTGAGGACTCTAAGAAAGTTGCTAGTCTGTGGGGTGCAAGGAAGAACCGTCCAGCCATGAATTATGATAAGCTAAGTCGCTCTGTGAGGCAGTACTATAAGAAAGGTATCATTAAGAAAACAGAACAATCCAAGCGTTTAGTGTACCAGTTCTGCCCTGGTTATTTGTGAATCCTGACCTCAGCCAGACTGTTAGTATTGCTGTGATAGGTGACCAGGCTAACGCAGCCCAGAACCACTGGTGTGTTGTTGTTGCTAGACCTGCTGCCTTCTTCAAGAATTCCACACAGGGACTCTACATCTGTGAGGTGGAGATCCAGTGGAGATGCAAGGGTTAGCCTGAGAATGGTAAGGAGTGAATAACTCAAGTCAGGCTTTGGTATAAGACAGGAACAACATGTGTGGCGTTGCTTTTTTGTTTGTTCCTGTAGGAATGGTTTTGTAACTGAAGTAAAACGTAACCCTGGCCCCATATATTTCTGCCCTGTTAGGATTCCAATATGACTGACTTGGCAGAACCAAACCAGGGAGGACTAGTGTATGAAGCTTAACAATATATACAAATATACATAAGGTGCTATAGAACTGATTTTTTTTTTTATATATAAATATATAAGTTACTGATTGTATGATGCTTGATTCTGTCAATGTGACACCTACACATCTTTTTAATACATGTTGGAAAGAGACCAGAATGAGAAGCTAATGATAGGTAATCACAGATGTGACAAAACTATTCTGTTGACTACTCAATTCTCCATATGGGTTCCAGCGCTAAATTCATGGGGGGGGGGGGGGGGGGATTTGACCATCTGGTTACCTAACGAGCATGTATTCAAGGTGACTTATTAGGGAAATTTCCGTCACAGCTGGAGAGCCTGAGAGGCAAGGAACCAACAGTCTGCATTCAAATAAACCAGACCTGTAAAAGGAATATGTATGCAAAACTCAAGTTCTGGAACTAGACCAGAGTCCAGAAGTGGACTATTAACTACAACACGCCACGTGAGTGTCCACCCGGTGAACAGTGAGAAAGAACAATACACAACAAAGAGAATGACAGGCTAGTATTTTTATAGGCAGGAGCCCACTGTTTTACCCATGTGCCTAATACTTTGTAAATTATCCCGCAATTTAGCAAACAATATGTTTCTTTGATCAATAATTTTTTTGAATAATCTTAGCAATTTGAATCATACAATTTGTTCATAATCACTGTGATGACGAAATACAGCTGTGACTACCACCTTGGTGAAGCAGCTAGATGCTCGCCTGCAGATTCAAAAATCATCGGTTTAAATCCACATGGAACTGGATTTGTTTCAGACATAACATTGGTTCCTACGTCAATCCAGTCTTAAATAGGTACTAGGTAAAGTCCTGGGAAATAAAGGTGGCTGGCGTGATGTTGACGATATCACATATCAAGGGCCGATTTTTCTATAAACTTTTGAGTCTAGCCTAAAGTGCCTAATAGGCTTCTAGCATGTACAGGGACCTTATACAGCTGCAAAATTCTCTTTCAAATGTTTGCATCATTATAAACTAGAATAAGATAACTCGTACTACCACACAGTCCAAAAAGTGAAAATCCTTCTAATAGAAAAACCACTTATTACTCTCAAATTGAAATGTATATATGTTTATACTTATGCACATCCTGTCAACTAATAGAATACCCATTTGAAATTTGAATATATTTTTATTTCCTTATCATGCTTTCTTTATACAGTTCTTTTTGTCTTAAATTCTGTGTTTTAGCATTAAGTAGACCTAACATGACTGAAATCTGTTAATCCCTTAGAGCATTCTAATTTGTACTTAAATTGAGAACTGCAGGATTGTTTCTGGTCATATCAAAATTATTTTAGTCAGTTTTATCCAGCATTTTGAATTTAATTCTTTTGAAAGCTTCTTTTTGTCTTGTTTATCATGAATATAGCATTCATAATTTAGCTTTTCACAATATATGTGACTTATAGCATGTATTATTGTAATAAATGATTTCCAAATTATTTTTTTTTTTAAATATATTATGTAATGTCTGCAACATTTCACAGAATGTCTTAATAACAGTGAACTGGCAATCTGTCACTTGGGAAATTATAAAAACTTTATTGTTCCCCCGAGTGGGTTCCGGGGCCCCATTGTGGGGAAAACAAGAATAGACCCACTGCCTCCCCAAAAGCATGTCGTAGGAGTCAACTAATTGGGGAGCTTCCTTTGAAGTCGGAGTGCATCTGCCGAAGAGGCAAGGAACTAACAGTCTGTATTCAAGAGAATGAGATCTGTAAAACTAATGCACACGCAACACTCAGGTTCTGGAGCAGGACTGCAGTTCAGTAGTGGAGGAGCAGCCAGAACCTTCCGCCAGAGTTTACAGCTGGTGAACGCGAAGAAGAAGAAGAAGAAGACTTTATTGTTCTTGTTCAGGTGATTCAAGTCAAATTATTTTGAGAAGTTATTATTTGTCGGAAAATCAACATTTTAGTTTGTTCTTTATAAGACAATATTTTTCAATGTTCATATACATATCTGAAATGCAAATTCTTATTTGTATTGTCTTGTTGCAGCAGACCTGTTGGTGTTGAGCATATCATTGTATGCATGATTGTATAAACTGAACTTCTTCATTCCTGTAGCAAAAGATTGTTACCAAACATTGTAAATCACAGATCTGAGTCCATAGAGAAACACATTTCAGGATGCATTTCTCTTACTATAATTTCATAAAGTAAAGTCAGTTGATCAAAATGTATATGAAAAGTATTCCTCACCAAACTGTGTGTTTGTATATATGAGAGAGAGAGAGAGAGAGAGAGAGAGAGAGAGAGAGAGAGAGAGAGAGAGAGAGAGAGAGAGAGAGAGAGAGAGAGAGAGATTTATTAGAAATGTAAAATCGATAAGAGAAAATCACAGTTACAGGATATATCATCAAAAATAGGAAATATGAAAACGATACCGTATTCATAGGAGATAATGAATAAAACAGGATAGAAGAGAATGGTACATCCCATTATGAGGCATATAAATAACACAACAAGACGATGCGGAACAATCACTGGTTAAAAACTTGTTGATTTACTGACAAAATTGATGGTGAAAGAGCCAAAAAAAAAAAAAAAAAAAACGGAGAGATAAAATACCTGAATGACTAAACTACAGGGCAAACATCATTGAGACAAGAACACAGACCTGATCAGACACTCTAATGACCAAACCATGACCACCCATACTTAACAGCATGACATAATCTATGTATGATCTAAACATTACATTTTTGATGCACTTATATTATTGTATTTATGTACATAGTGTATATTACAAATTACAGTGAACAAGTGCGGGCACTTGCTGCAAGTCACAGATGTGTTGTTCCTTTGTTCTTTTCTTTGAGTAATTTATATAAGTAATCAGAGGGAGGAACCATTGAAGTCGTATAAATATTGTATGTATATGTATATATATATATATATATATATATATATATATATATATATATATATATATATATATATATATATATATATATATATATATATATCATCAGATGCCTTGTCGTCTGGCGTGGGTGATCATGCCTCTCCACAATCTGCTATCTCTTGCAGCAGTGTTCTGACACACCTCCATGCCCTGCAACAAGACTGTCAAGCATCTTCTCTCGTTGTCATCCTCTATCCCTCCTTCTACAGATCTTTCCAGTGTTCAAATGTTCAATTTTTCTTCTTCTCATTAAAAAAACTAAAAAAAGATGACTGTCTCCTTCTGCTGTCTGTGATTAGTTGTCTTTGGGCTTCCGCCTTTTTCAAAACCTCTTGGTTGTTCTGTTTGGCTGTCCAAGGACTTTTAAGCATTTTTCTGTAAAACCACATTTCTGAGGCATATATATATATATATATATATATATATATATATATATATATATATATATATATATATATATATATATATATATATATATGTATATACACACACACACAAAAACATACACTGTATTCGGCACTTATAGAAAGAAGTAGAAAGTTAGAAAGGCACACTAGACAACATAAAAATCAAAAGCTAGTTACTCTGCCATGATCGAACCTGTCACCTCTAAATAGCGTGTGCGCCTCACTGTGGGAACAAATGCACTAAGGACATGACCAACTAGGTTAACTAAAAAAGGGTTTTTAATTGGCCATGTTTATCGTACACCTTGAAATCCACAACCATTTTTGTTGTTGTGAGAAACTGATCTCCCCGTGTGGGTTCCAGAGCCATATTTTGCGGAGAATGTTTGATGTTGAATTGAGAATCGACATCACAGCACTCGGAACACCCTCACCCCCCCCCCCTTTTCCCCCATAAACGCTTCGTCCCTATCTTCACCAGCTCGCGAAGAGTTCTTATGATGGTACAAGTAACTGTCTGATTGTATATCTGTCTCGCCCGTACCTTGAGTGTTGAGTGTTGGCTAGATCCCCTGGTAACTCCCCACAGAGTCATTCTCCTCAGACCGTAAGATCTATTTGTGCTTCTGCACAGTTCACTCGCTCCCAAAGGACCCTAACAATATCTAGCTTGACATACCTCAGTTCACCACCAAATGGGGCAGAACCGACAAGTCAACCTGCCTGCTTATTTCCGAACATACCGACATCAAAGAAAATATCCAAGGGATACTAACTACCCGGAACCTCTGAACTAATGCTTGCCGCCCTGCACAGAATATGCCTGTCTCCACCTTTCTCAGCGTGCTCTGTGAGACAGTTACAATCACGGCATGTGTGTACAGCTGATTCTCAAACCACCGAAAGACAGCAGCGACTGCCTCCAACCCAATTCTCGAACTAGACGTTGTGATAACATATGCCAGTCTTTGCTGCACTAAGCGACGTTTATTTGCCTTTGCAAAGAACCCCCGCGCACTTTGTCTGCCCATCAACACTGAGCCATCTGTATAAATTTTGGCAAGATGGGGGAAAAAAATCCACTAACGTTAACAGACTTGTCATCAAAAGATAACTAAATTGTGTGCATTTACTAAAACCGGATGTCGTGGCGTGAGAGATAAAGATGTCACAGTCTAGCTGTAAACCACAGCACAGAGAGCCAATTATCCTTTGAGAGGTGAACAAAGAAGAAGACAAACGTATTTATGATCTACAGACAGTTTGCACAAACATAGACTG